AAGCTCAATGTTGTCGCAGAAGGATGTGCCCCTCAAAATGTGAGCTTATATCCCATATATTTGAAGATGATGTCATGCATTTTTGTACAATGGATTTATGTATTACTGCATGCTTAGTATTTCTGGGTTTGCTGTTTTGTTTCCACTTCAGAAGGATGTACATCATGAGTCCAAGGACATAATGGGGGAAGTTTCAAAGACACACCATGCCATACAGTAAGCTAGTATTCGAGTTCTTATGTTTCTGAATTCCTTGGTTGGTGGCGGATAATAATCAATAGCATGTTTCCCTTCACACAGTACTCTGGATAAAACTATTGCTAGTCTGGAGATGGAATTGGCTGCCGCTAGGGCTGCACATGAGTCCACACTAAGTGGTTCTCCCGTATCAGACAATTCGAAAGCCTCGCAATCAACAGGGAAACGGAAGTATCTGATGGTTGTAGGCATAAACACTGCTTTCAGTAGCAGAAAACGAAGAGATTCGGTTCGTGCAACTTGGTTGCCTCAAGGTCAGCTGAATGATGGGTTTCGATAACACCTATTTCTGCACATCCTTTATGGTACTGTATGTGTATGTCAATTTCTTTATTTGATTATTTCACTTCTCCCTGTGTTTTCAAAAGGTGATAAGAGGAAGAAGTTGGAAGAAGAGAAGGGCATCATAATGCGCTTTGTCATTGGTCACAGGTGGGTGCCACAGACCTCCTACCTTGTTTTCCAATTAGTTCTTCCTTGAATTGGTTGCTCACACAGCTTCTCTCAATGCTTTTCACTTTATCCTGGCTATTCCCTTGCTGTGAAAGTGAAACTATATCTGAACGTCCATGAAGTTCCTATGAATCAAGTGAAATTAAGGATTCTTGCGAACCACGTTGTAAATGGAATTTGATATGCTTTTTTCCGCTTGTCTTTGGCTTTTGATTCCAGTGCCACAGCTGGAGGAATCCTTGACCGAGCCATTGAAGCAGAAGACAGGAAGCATGGTGACTTCTTGAGATTGGTAGTATTCTTATTCCTTCATTTTCTTTTCTTCTATCTTCTTTGAAATACTCTGCCATGCCGATACAGAAAATTTGTTAACTCATCATGCAACATTTTTTGTGAGTGCAGGAGCATGTTGAAGGTTACCTCGAACTATCGGCAAAGACAAAGACATACTTCACCACTGCAGTTGCATTGTGGGATGCAGATTTCTATGTCAAAGTCGATGATGATATCCACGTCAATATAGGTAATTTGTGCTGGGCAGCCATGGTCCTGTTTCCTCTTCTTTCACTTCGCTTTATCATCTTAACTGAAGTCTATCCAACTTACATTGCAGCTACACTAGGAGCAACTTTAAGCAGTCACCGATTAAAACCCAGAGTTTACATAGGATGTATGAAGTCTGGCCCGGTCCTGGCACAAAAGTAAGTTGAGGAGCAATTTAGTTGCTCTTCATTTTCCCAGCGTATGGGGAGCACACGGTAACATGATTTCTTTTACTTTGTTGGATTCAACAGGGGAGTGAAATACCATGAACCTGAGTATTGGAAATTCGGCGAGGAAGGGAACAAGTACTTCCGTCATGCCACTGGACAAATATATGCCCTTTCAAATGACTTGGCTACTTATATATCAATCAACCAGTAAGTTCCCTTTTTTTAGACCTTAGCAAGGGCATATCAACAATTTAGAGGACAATCTGAGTCAGCCTAGGTTAACTTTTTGTTCATCGTGTGGTTGTGATTGTGTAGGCATGTACTGCACAAGTACACAAACGAAGATGTCTCGCTTGGGTCATGGTTGATAGGGTTGGATGTGGAGCATATCGATGACAGGAGACTCTGCTGTGGCACCCCACCTGGTAGAACCCCTCTTTACCACTGTCCTTTCTCTGTGTTTTTTTTCTGTTTCGTGCAAAGCAAGTAAACGTAGAACCCACATAACACGAACCTTTTATCCAGATTGTGAGTGGAAGGCTCAAGCAGGAAATGTGTGTGTTGCCTCCTTCGATTGGACTTGCAGTGGAATCTGCAAATCTGTCGAGAGGATGAAGGAGGTCCACCGACGCTGTGGGGAAGGTGAGAATGCATTGTGGAGTGCACAACGTTGAAAGACAACATAACCTGTTCTTCCTAACTCAGGAGGAATACCCAGGAAAGAAAAATGAGGCCTTGATGCTCTCTGTGGGGTGTGGATATGACCCTTATGGGGAATGTGTTTGTTTCTTCACATATATGAAGAGAAGAGTTACTGAGTGGGATCTGATCCATTTTAGGCAAGGGCAGAAAACCCATTAGCAGTTTGGAGGGAAAGTAATAGTCTGCAATTGTTTGATTCTTTTTGTACATGGTTGAAAGGGGGACCATTTTGTAAGTTTTGCCAAGCATGGCTAGGTTACAATACTCCTCAATAAGTGCCATAAATGGAGCTACCAAGCTCTTCTTACCTTTTGCTTTTCCAATCGAGCCATAAGTGTTTGTTTCTAAAGCATATCCTTCTTTCTTTCCTTTTCATGATTGATGATGATACAGAGTTCATCTTGAGATGGTCAGTCTTATTAGCCTTTGCGAGTTGTCCATCATTTGGCGCCGGTTTTGAAAGCTCAACTCTTTTCTAGATATTCTAGTTAAGTGGTGTTCTTACCGCGTATTATCAGTAAGCCGCGACTTATAGTGTCGATCGTTCATAAGCGAATAAGTGAAACAATCATCAAGACGGGTAAGGTAATCGGCTACAGAGTTTGGCCTTGATTAGAAACAGAGTATTGAGCAATGAGCAGCCTGTCCATGAGGTAAGAATGACACAAACGTGTAGATGAATGATGCTGATGGGGTCCGAAACATCACTTTCCTAATTCATAACCATCACTTGGGAAAGCAACGCCTCTTCAACAGATTGAAGACAATGAAAACTAAAAACAAAGAAAGGAAAAGAAATGAAGGAGAAAACCACAGGACCCAACAAAATTCAAAGCAGTGTGTGAAATCAAATGGCATGCTCTCAAGCTAATCAATTCTCCACCAAAAAAACACAGCCACAGGTGCCAAATTCTCCACCAAAAGAAGAAGAAAAATCTAAAACAGAGTACTCATTCTTAAAATATTGAAGCATGGGGGACTGCTGTGAAGGAAAGGAAGAAAGAAGTATTAAGGGTCATTGAGTATAGACCCATTACTTCTTTCCCCCACTAATTTCAGAAAAAATCCACCACCACCACCACTACCAACAACAACAACAACAAACCCATCTCTCCCCACAACATATTCTTCATAGTTCATCCTTCACTATAAATACTTAAACTTCTCTGTTCTTGTTTCTCTCCCTCTCCCATCTCAATCTCCAAACCCAGAACAAAATCCATTCAGGTGAGTGAGTTATTACAGAAGAGAGAAACAACATGGCTCCTAGGTTGAAGCTGGTGGATTCATCTCTGAGACTCACAGCAATTCCCCTGAGTGTTGCAACACTCTGCCTCACTGTCACAAACCACCAGGACAACGCCGATTTAGGCCCTGTTGCCTACAAAAACATTCAAGGCCTCGATTACATGGCTTGGATCAGTGGGATATGTGCTGCTTATGCACTGTTTGCTGCTCTGACCATTTGGTTCATCAAATGCTCTGCCTCCAAACCCTGGCTCTTCTTCCTCTTTGACCAGGTACCCATTTTTAACTTCTGCATTGTCTTTCGATGTCTTCATTTTTTTTTAAACCTGATTGGGGTGTTTATGGAATCGGATGTTGAAGATGATAACGTATCTAATGGTGACATCTGGAGCTGGAGTGTCGGAGATAGTGTACTTGGCTTACTACGGCGACCGGACGGTGTCGTGGAGTGAAGCCTGCCGCTCCTATCCCAGCTTCTGCAGCAGGATGAAGCTTGCTGTGATTCTCCATCCTCTGGCTCTCTTCTGCTTCATTGCTTTCACTGTCATCTCTGCTTACAGAGCCTTCAGCTTGTTTGAACCTCCTTCCCTTGCTTCTTCCAAGGAAGTTGAAGAAGCAGATAACACTACTGCCAGAGCTGCTGCTGCCTGATTGTTGTGCGGTGTGAAATTGTTGTTTGTTGTTGAAGTACAGAGATTTAGAAAGTTGCAAACTCCCCCCCCCCCCCCCCCCCCCCCCCCCCCCGTTTTACTGATGTTCTTCTGCAGGTCCTAATGAATGAATCCTGTATAATAGATGTCACTGAAGAAAATGCTAAACTGTTCTTACTTTGAGAAATTTGTCCATTTGTTGTGTCTGTGTGTTCATAGTGCAATACCACATGTTACATGCCATTGATGAGCTATTTAGCAGCTCTCTGTTACTGTTACAGAAAACCATGGCTGTGAAAAGTAAAGAAAGGAAGTCCTCATTAATACATGTTACCTAACTTACCTAACTCAACCATTCAACTGCCAACCAGAAAGAAGGAATTAATTGAAGTATGGATGTAATGTTAATGTGAATGTATGATGTTGCTTCCCAGCCACAAAGAGCAGCTCTGTCCCATCCCATCCTACTGGAAAGTGGGAAGCAGGCAGAATTCTCAATCATCTTTGCCAGTAAATGAATGATATGCCTATACACCAATCTCTCAACTAAGCAGAATTCTCATTTTGCTACATCTAGATACTATGGTGACCGTTTTGTTGCCTTGGGTGACAAATTTTGGTCAATTACTTGCCACCTAAAACTAATTGGCTTATCGGCTAGCGTTTTGTGGTGGGTCGTATGACGATTTGAATGGAGAACTGGATGAACGATTGGTGCAAAACTCGTCTACATTATATAGCTAATCATAGACATGTCTGTAATTTAGTAAACCCCTAATGCATGCTTTGTATATCTAACTAAATCATATTTCATGTCACTTCTATAGTATGTCTTTTGTTGTCCAACTCTCCAATCTAAAATCTAGAAATCCTAACATAAGCAATGGTGTAATGCAAATGAAAGAAAACTAAAAAATTAGTAATTTACATCATTACATTCATAAAAATATATGATTATCATTATCTAAAATATGGATTATTCGGCATTAAAGAAGTTATTTGATTTATACATATGATTTTTTTTTCTAAATCATATTGAAACAGGAATATTACTTTCGATAAATTTTACATTAGGTACTAAGAAGTTTGGAGTATCTGATTAATGAATTTGGGTATTCGATCCCTATCGATATCTCTTACATTACAACAACACAAGACGGACGAGAGTTCCCTTCCCCAAATTTGTAGGAAACTTACATCCTCAACGTATTAGCAAATTCCTCAAAAAGACTTACAAAGGATAAAAAGAAGAACGACCACGATTACAACACTTAATTACAAACCCCAACTCTCAATTTTCATAACAAATCTCTGGCAAGTTATCCCAGGAATAAGTCTCTAGTGGGGGCCTATCTGGGTCCGTAGTTGTTGTCCTCGTCGTGGTTGTTGTGGGAAGAAAGGAAAACATGTGTTGGAGATCAAAATTGATGTGATCCTCTGTTGTCACAACTGAAGATGGTTCATTGGAGGTTGTCTGATCCCTAATGCCACCACTGACGTTATCTCTGCAAAATTGATTATCAGTTTTTCTGATCTGATTGTCGTCTAGGAACTTGTTCACCTCCTCATTCTCTCTTTTTTGTTCCCCACAGTTGGAAAACTTGTTGGTGGTGGTGGTGTAGCCTTGAACATCACTAGCATTCCTCTGCATCACATAATTATCCCTCTGCATCATCAAATTTGGATTAGCCTCTTTCCAAAGATCCTCCAACAATCCTCCATAGGCACCACCAGCACTATTTGATGTCGGTGTTGCTAGCAAGATGTTATTATTGTTGTTGTTGTTCCCTCGTTTTTCCATATCAATTTTCCTATTGAATTGACCATGATGGATTATACTAGAACTGACATCATTCCCATGAGGGTGTTGTGATAAAATTTGGTTTGAAGAGAGCTCTGGCTGGTGAGACATTGAAGCTAGAAGTGAGCACATCTCCTCATTCTCCTTTTGCATCTCCTTGTGGAACCCACTATTGTTGTTGTCAAGTACGCTGGAGAGGATATTAAGATGGTTTTGGTTATGAGAATTTTCTATATGTGCAACATTATTAGAGGAAATGTTGGGATGGGGAGGACGAGGTGGCGCCGCTGATAGATTTGCAAATGAGACTGGAAAATTATGTGGGCGAGCATTGTTATTACTATTGGTATTGTTAGACTCGTCTCCTGCAGTTGCTGCAGAGTTGACAATGTCACCACAAGAGGCAAATCGCTTGAAGCGATTAGGGGATTGGAGGATAGGAGTTGGGCGTGGGAAGGAGAAGTCAAGGAGAGCTAGAGTTGGGATGTGGTGATGGTGAGAAGAAGAAATAGGGGACGCATTGTTGGCTACTGAGGGGGAAGGAAGTGGGGAGAGATGGGTTGGGGTGGTCGAAGCTGAAGGATGATCATGGTTCTGGGTTTGAAAAATGAATGGAGATTGAGTTGGGGTTGTGGGAGTAGAGTTGGGATGATGATTGTGTTGTTGTTGAGAGTAGTCAAAAAGTGGTAAGGTTTGGAAGGCATTGTGAGAGGCAGATGGTTGTGGAGCAAAGGGTTGGTGGTGGTAAGGATGAAGAGCTTGTGGGGCTCCTGCAGTTGGCGATAAAAGTTGATAAGGTTGGAAGGAGAAAGTGGTGATCGGACTTGTCGGTGTTGCAAAAGATTTAAGTTGATTATATTGGTGGTGGTGATGTGGATCTGATTGGAAGTGTTGTTGTCGTGGAGGTTGGATATTTGGAGGGTAAAGAGGGAGTCCTTGTCGTTGGTGCCTCTTTATTCTTGTGTTCCAGTAGTTCTTAATCTCATTGTCTGTTCTTCCTGGAAGCTACATATCCCCATGCATGAGAAGGAAACAAAAATAGAGCAATAAGAACATAGGAAAAGCATAGCATTATGAAGAAACAAGAGTAAGGGCAGGGGAAATGAAAAGTCATACCAAGCTAGCCATGCGAGCCCATTTGTTGCCCATCTTAGCATGTAGCTCAATAATGAGTCTTTCCTCTTCAGGTGTGAATGAACCCTTCTTGAGATTTGGTCGAAGGTGATTAGCCCAACGAAGGCGGCAACTCTTCCCACAACGGTTAAGTCCTGAATTCCTTTGTACGGCATTCCAGTTCCCTTCACCGTGTTTCCTCACATATTCAAATAGAATTGCATCTTCCTCCGTTGTCCAAGGTCCTTTCTTTAAGGGTCTTTCTCTCCCACCCCCACCAACGTTTACAACATTATTATTAATCCCCCTCCCATCAGTTATAGAATTTCCAGCCGGATGTGGATTCCCTCCTCCGTTAATATTGTGATGGTAATGAGCAACAATGTCATCACCAAACCCTAAGACATTTAAATATGCATTACCATCTCCTCCATTGCTACCTCCTCCTCCGTCGCCACCACCGTTTGTTGAAGATCCAGAGGATCCACCATCACCATTGGTTGTTGATATCATCTTGAAAGTAGAAAGATAATACTCCACAACCTAACAATGATATATCTTCCTCTCTTCTTGGTGGGTTCCTAATGCAACCCAACAAGAAAAAGGAATTTAAGAAACCCTCCAAGGCTTCTTCCTCTTTTCTTCCTTCCTTCAATTGTTCCTCAAGAAGTGGAGTTACATCTTCTTAAGAGATTCAACCACAAATTTCTCATTCAGGCTATTGAAGATAACAATGTAAATAAGATTCATTATGCCCATTAACTCCATCGAATCCCAAAAAAAAAAAAATTCCCTCCTTTGTGGGTCCTTATTTTTTCCCCTTACTTTTTTCTAGGTTGAGATGAAGGTGGAGGTGTGGGACACTTTTCTTCCTTCCCGGGGTGATGGTTGAGAAACTAGGAAATTTGATCGCCGACCGGGAAGAGGAAGAGATGGGACGGTGGACGCCGGTGGAGGATGAGATTAATTGAGGACCCACGAGAAAATATGAGTAGAGGGATCAGAAAGGTATAAAGAGAAGTTGTAGAAGAAAGGACGGGACCGAAGAGAGAAACATGGAGATGGGTGCGGCGACAACTTCTCAACGGTTTCTAACAGTTAACACAAAATATGATTTAGTATGGTGTTGCCACTTTATACACCAACGATTATTTTTGTAAGGGTAATTTTTGTCCCCTGTTTGAGCTTCTCCGGGCAACTGCTCTGCGTGAAGAAGAAAAAACAAAGTTTGGGAGAGCCTAAGAGCAAAATTGTTGCCGGAGGATCACGAACGATGCCTAAATTAAAGTGTGGTCTTTTTGTTTTTGTTTAATGGTGTCATAATAAGGACCCTGTTTTGAGAGATGAAATTTTATTTATTTATTGTGGTTTTCCATGAGGTGAGGGAGTCTAGGTGGGAACAAAATCCTCCAAAACTTAATTAGAATTTGTGATTTTTCATGGATGACATAAGTGTGAATTAGGAAAATTATTTGAGTTGTCTAGATATAAAAGGTTCTTTGATGAAAATTTTGAAGGGAAAAAGAATGGAAATTCATGGAGTATACATTTACTAAAATTTTGAAGGCATGCAAGGAACAAAAATAGATATTTAGGAAAACAGTTGTAGGATAAATATATTTACTGGTATTATTGGCATATTCAGAATAAAAAAATTGGGGGAGTATACATATGTTGAAATTTGAATATATAAATTTATATTTATTAGAGATGTTTTTCATTGTAACAAAGAAATTATGGAAATTTGAGTTCAAATCTAAAATGTGGGTAGCTTAAGGTTCTATTTGCATATTTAATAAGAAGGTCTTTCTTCACTAAAAACCAATAAAATTATGGTATAGTTACTCTGTTGGAGGATTGTTATGTAACTTTTACTTTCGTGCAGTGTTTTTAGTAAGTAGTTGTGAATAGGGTTTATGAAATATACTAGTATAAAATAGACTTTTTTAAATGTTAGTTGCAAGGATTGAAATATTGTACCGGAAAAGTTAGTGGTAGGCTATTTTATGTTAAAATCGTGATTTATTCATGGTTCAATCGTATTATACCGCTAAATATCGCCTACCAGTTTTGCTTCCGATAGGAGATTTTTGAGGTCGAACCCTCGGTACTGTACGATATTTTAATCCTTGGTTGGTTGGCCGTTTCATTAATACGAAACAGGTGTATAGAGTTTTCCAACACTGAAAGAAAGGATAAAATCCTCAACCTTCTGTCTTGGACGTGCCTCCGCCGGGGAACGATGAGGACATCATACAAAATCTCCAGGCACCAGCAGCTTCATTAGGCCGATTTATCACCAATGACAAAGGGAAGAAAAGCAAAACCATCAATAGGGAGAACCATTCCTAGAGGAAGCTCATAGCTTCACCTTCACAAGAAGTAAATTAATGAGTCTCTCCCAGCCCGGGCTATGGACAGATGAGAGACGACCAAATCACTGCAATCTGAGCAATCGGCTGGATGTCATCCTCAGACCTCAAGTGTGACATCCTTGCTCACAAGCTCTTTAATCTTCAACCAAGAAAACAAGGTTCAAACATCTCCGACTCATCTTCATTTAAGATGAAGCATGTGGAGGTAGATGGTGAACCAGAGAGGAGCAAGCGAACCGACAAAAATCGGGGCCCTCAAACACCTACTATAGAGCCATCGACACATATTTAGGATCTGGTCGGGGAGCAAAAGCATCTCCTCGGGAAGACAGGAACAACATCATCACAAGGATGGAGAAAACACAGACATGAAAGGAGAATAAGAGGAAGCAAATCTATATGTAGGAACCCGAACAAAAAAGTTCGAAAAAAATTGGAGAGTAACAAAGGAGAGGGAAGGAGATATCGGATCGGAGGAGAAAAAAGGATCCAGCAACAAAAAGAGGGCTTGAGGCTACCGCCGATCCCAAATAGGACGACAGTCCCCTTTCATATCTGTATTTGAAATTTAGTGACAAGGGAGAGGAAGGGAATGGTAGACAGTGAAGCTAGCCTAACCTCTAATGGATAAACCCCAGGCACCGATTTTCTAAACCCTAACCCGAAGTTTGATTTAATGAAAAACAAAAATTGACCGTTGAGATCAGCCGGAGCTCATCTAACCACATCTAACGGCTAGATCACGTGACGTATAGTATACGCCTGACGTACCTCAGTCATCACCGGGTCAGACTGGTGTACGTTAGGCGTATACTATATGTCAGGTACTACTAGTGAGATATCTCTATCTAGACCATGAATTAAATCGAGTTTGGGGTATGATACTATACCCTAACCTCTAATGGATAAACCCCAGGCACCGGTTTTCTAAACCCTAACCCGAAGTTTGATTTAATGAAAAATAAAAGTTGACCGTTGAGATCGGCCGGAGCTCATCTAACTACATTTAACGGCTAGATCACGTGACGTATGCTATACGCCTGAGTCATGAACATATCGGTGGCATCTTGATGTCAAGTTAATGAGATCGTAAGTAAGTAAATTTGTGTTTCTCAATTAAGCAAATACAGCAGGATGAGCAGTGCTCCCATCCAGTATCTCGAGCAGCCCTCGTCCCATAACGAAAAAATCCGGAACTGAAATTCCCACACAACATAGCTGCTTGCGTCCAAGCGAATAGAGACATGCTTCCTAAATCCATAGGCTCTGATATCATGTGAACAACTCGAATCATAAACAAGCAACACCTCATGGGCCTACTCTACATGGACTATGCTGCGATTAACCGACCTAACCCAACCCATTGTCATCTCTTCTGCCTGCCCTGGCTAATCTGTCGATGTAGAGTTTTCCTTATGGAAATGGTTCATTAAATGGTTTCGCAGCAAGAACTGGAGGACAGCAACGTTTCTGGTGTCGTGTACAGATCCACACGTTTTTGTTTCTGTTTGCCCTCCAGAAGGAAAACGCATGGTGGTAATTGCCAATTTCAACAAGTCAAAATAAACCATTGTCCAATTGCTCTGTTCATTGCCCGGCCGTCCCTTCTTGACCGCCCTTGCTCTATAACAATTCCAATAAACAAAAAAAACTGTTTCTCTGTTTTCCCTTTTCCCCCTTCCGTTTGTTTATTCTTTTCCCCCCTGTATATATACAGAATAAGCTTTCCCTGTTTTGTTTCTTGAGAAAAACAGAGAACCTCTCCCCTGTTTTTGCTCTGTTCTTGATCGTGGGGGGTTTTTTTTTTTTTTGGTAGAGATGGCCGTGCCGTCGTTGTCAAGCATCTTTCGCGGCGGGCATCATCGTCCAGCTGCCGAGAATAATCATCACCCACCGGCGGCGGCGCCGCCCTCAAACTACGTGTGCGAGGGGGACGTTTGTTATCTGAGAAAAGAGAGTCAGGGGAGCAGCCAGAGCCAGAGCCGGAAATCTTCCGCCGGCAAGGGGAAGCCGCCGAAGGAGCCGGCCGTCGTTTGCTTCTCAATGTTTCCTCGCCGGATTCGCCTGGGGAAGGCTCCCGCCTTGTAAGCTTCAATTCCTATATATAGATGTAATACGGAATTGAGGTGTGATTCCGAGGGGATCACATTCGTCGGAAAGTTAGAGGCTTCAGCTTTTATTCATTGGAAAGAAACGAATTTAAAATTGATTGTATTGTTATATGTTTGTAGTTTCTGTATTGTTCTTATTCGTTGGTAAAGGAAACAGCTGCCGTTGTATATATAATATACAGTGCTGATTTGCTCTTTGTAATAATGGATCTTTATCGCGTTGTCGTGTGAACGACAGCCTTCAACTTTTTTTCCTTTAGAAAGACAATAAAAACACGATTATAAAAAAGACCATTGCACGTTAAAAGATTCATGACATGAAGGGGGAAATGAAATTTTTTTTCCCATAGAAATTAATGCGGATTAATCAGGTAAGCGTGAGGGGTTACAATCATTACGGCAACTATATGGACTCAACAACAGAACAAGTACGTATAATTATGTAAAACATATCTAGTTCAGAAAAGCGCAAAACATTGTACGTAATGAACAGTCTGATTCGCTTCTCAAGGTGTGTAAACGAGAACGAACCATAGGTATGTGACATGAACGGGGAAATGGTTAGTTGCAATTTATGAATGCATTCAAATCGAATTCACAACGAAAGAAAGAAATTTGAAGCCAAATCAGTAAACTAAGCATCTAGACAAATCCATCAACCTGTGCCAAATGTACAAGCCAAATTCCTAAGCTGCTGCTACTGCTCCCTCTAACTATTCTTCCTCAATAATCAATACATGGAAACCCAATTCCTAACTCGAATTCAAATTCGGTCCGCCCTCTCAATCGACTAGGCTGCCAAACTCTCTTTTAGATCAAACTTCTAACATTATGTACTTTTCTCCAGAGAAAAGCTGAGGGGGGAAAGAAACAGGTAGTTCTTTAAACACAATCAAGTGCTTTCTCAACGTCACTTCACTTCTCCCCCATTCTTCCTCTCCTGTCCCAACTGCAAAACCCTTTTACCTTTTTGTACATGTGACCTTCTGCATCATCATCACCATCATGAATTGGAAGATTTCATATTAATCTCCTGGCAGCCAAACTTTAGCTAATGAACACCGTGGAATGGATCTTCTTGAACAAAGGTGCGAGGGGGAACAGCTTGCAGATGCAGCCCAATCTCCCACCAGGGTGGATTGTGTCACTGGTTCGGTTTGAACGCTATCCTTTTCTTGTTTTGTTTCAGAGCTGTAATGCCAGGTCAGGCTGCTGTGAATCAACCATGACACCTGAAGACTGTTTCGCCGGTGATCCTGGCGACTGGAAACCGATGTTCAAGTCCGGTGACAGCGTGTGTGTCTCCTGCTTTTGCCTAGTAGTAGGCTGGGACTCAGACGGTAGCCCAGTTTGTCCTCGCCATGGGGAGGACATCATTTGCAATCGAGATAGATCAGCAGCTACTAACTGGGGAGAAAACATTATTGGTCTCCCACCTTGCACCTGTCCTTCACCTCCTCCAGGGAAAGGAGGCGGTCTCATGAAAGCTTGAAACGGGAAGTTCTTCTCAGCCTGCTGGAACTGCTGCTGCACCCCTGCTGCTGGGAAAGGAAGCTGCCCTTGGAACATTCGTGGGGGGAGTTGCCATGTTGGGTTGTACAGTGATTCTGCAGAAATCTGACCGTTTGTGTTGCTAGAAGAATGGTCTGCTGCTGGGGGCTTGAAGCCTCCCCCGGCAGCGCCTATCGACATCCATGCTCTGGCAGCAGTTGCAGCCGCATTGCTGTTGTCGCTCCTTGAAGCCGGTGGAGCCTCACCAACTGAGGACTGACCACCTGAACTAGGCTGTTGATGCTTTTGAGCCCTTTCAGCTGCTGATATTCTCATTGCCTCCACTGGGTCTGTGAGAACCACTCCTGGTGCCCTTGGAGGATAGTGTAGTCCTCCATGGCCCGTCTGATTCCTTCCGATGTAACCCATTTGGCCAAAACCATCAGATGATGCAGTCGCTGATCTACCATTGTTTACTAAACTACTGCTAGTGTTTCTCCCATTTGGAAACCCTGGGGGAACATGCTCGTAACTGTCCAGCGGCTTACAAGGTAGGGACTGTGGCATACCAGCCTCTGTCCTCGACACTTCCCTTGGCTTTGGACTATCTGTTCTTGGCGGCACTTCCTTTGACTTTGGACTTTCTGTTCTTCGTGGCACTTCCGTCGGCTTTGGACTCTCTGTTCTTCGTGGCACCTCCCTCGGCTTTGGACTATCTGTTCTTGGTGGCACTTCCCTTGGCTTTGGACTTTCTGTTCTTGATGGTGCTTCCCACACCTTTGAAGGCGCCATTCCAGAACTCTTCGGAAGTTGCTTTTCACCAACTTCACCATCATTTTGGTAGTTTGAAGGAGGCAAGTTCAGCTCAACCTGCTTGGGAGCCCTATTCTGAGTCTCGGCATGGTTCCAGGGAGAAATAGTTTGTCGTGGATGAGTGACATTGACTGGGGCAAATGGCTTGGTTGCGGCAGAGGAAAACAATGAGTTTTTAACTTCAGCCACACTGCAGGTTGGACGGAACACTGTATGCTTTACTTGTGATGTAGTCCCGCTAGCTGGTGGAGGTTGAGCGGCTGGAACTGCAGTTGCATCAGGACCGTTTAGTCCATCCACGACAGCTTTAACCTTGGGCAACAACACTTCATTGTCTCTAGGAGAACGTGTTTCAATCATTAGCACTGGGGTTGTGACTGGCTCATATTCTCCCACCCATCCTCTACCAAACTTGCACCCAGGTGGTAAAGCCTGCTCAATCCTGTGAGCTGCCACTTTCCAAGCTAATGGTCCGAGGGTTGCAGCAAAGCGAGCCATGCTCCTTGCATAGGAATATTCTGCGTGAAGCCCAACCTGATCAAAGAAAATGAAAGGAAGCATTAGTATTAGCTCCCACCCACTTTAGTAAAAATGGTGCAGCTTCATAGTTACATACAGCAACCAGCTGCCTGAGTTCATCCTCGAATGTTGTGAATATCGTGTCTGGTCTCTCAACAGGTTGACTGCATATGTTATATGTTGCACGACGGTTGTCATCAAAGACAGACAGTCTCTTTCCAATCTTGGGCCAAGGACCCTTCCCTGTAGAAGCGTGGAGTCAAAGCAATTAGGAAACCAATGCCAACATTACAGAACAAAATAGTCGACTGCACAACCACCTATATCCTAAATATATGTAAACCGCAGAGAGAAATTCAAGTTACATACCTGATGATAGTTCTTCAAGTTTTTCCAGATTATTATCCACCAGAGACAAGCTGCCTTCTACAAGAGCATCCACATTACAAGGCCTCTCACAGGCACCAGCCAAAACACCATTAGGACCATTCTGCACCTCACCAGCATTAGCAAGAGCGGCACCTGAAGAGAAATCAGACCCAACAGGTTCCTGTATAGCCCTACTGAGAGGCTTCTTCATTTGCTTCTTGCCCGAGAAGTTGGACTTCGTTTTCTGTTCAGACTTCCGCTCCTTCTCAGAGCGTTCAATGCCAACCCTTAACTTCTCAAACTTTTTGTGTGCCAATTCTTGGATGGCCCGTGCCTTTTGGAAACAACAGGAAACAGAATTAGCACAGATTTAGACACGAGATGTAAAAAAATGCGACAGAAAAATTATTTTGTACCTGTTTGTGGTATACGGTGTCTGATGAATTATATTTCATTGCATTAGAGCAAATTAGAAGTACATCACTCTGCAGTCAAAGAAAAACCTGAATGATCAATATGCATAAAACTTTCTTTTCATCATCTCTCTTAATCAATACAACTTATGGCTTAACTATATGATGAATTTCACTCAATAAATCAAATTCGCAGAATGCAGAGCCTCCTTATATATAAACGATTTACATGAATTTTTTTAGCTCAATCACTCAAATCTCTTAGAGTAGGCACAGAATAGTAATAAGCATCAACCGATAGCACTAGAAGCACAATTTTAAGTTAAGCCATACAATGACCACAAACATAAATTTATTCACACAACAAACTGGCTAAAGGAGTTCAAGCCTCTAGATAAGTCAACCTGCACATCATGTTTTCATCCTAGGACTCTCTGACTTCTACCAACAGGCAACAACCACACAGGAAAGAGCATATCTGGAGTCAATGCTCCAATTCTGAGGTAAGAGACACGAGAAAACAAGATGTCTGCATTTTATCTTCAACAATATTTTGCACCAAACAAAGCTGCTCCAACATGTATCACAATCAACAATGAGTTGCAATAACGGCCATTGCAGCTTAGATGCAAAGCAGAATGTTCCAAATAAGTTAACATGATATACAGCAGAATGATGCCCTACAGGCTACAACAGCCACGATCATAGTCTGTGGACAGAGCAAGAATCAAACACGACATCATTATTCTCTGTCTATATACAGATCAATAGATCTAACAACAGTCAAGTCCTAAGGTGGCATCTCTCTAACCTTCTGAAATCAACAATTGTCCGGTTCCGAAAAGATCAAGAAAGGAACAAAAGGAAACCTTAGTTTCAAATTGACGGTGATAAGAGTATTCAAACCTCAGACAGAAGTGAGAGGCAAAACGAAACCTTTGACAATTCACACTATAACTAGAGTTTCATGCGAGACCAGCTGGCACATGTAGAGCAGAGAAGTAAACGTAAGGAACACACCTCAAATTGTTCCAACGTGGAGTACGAGCCATTTCCCAGCTTCTTCCGTACTGTGGCAAAGTCCATTGGGTGATCAACCACATCAAGATAATCCGGAAGCTGTAACAACCACATTAACACATTAGGCTCGGCCAATTCTCTACCATCAATATGCCAATCACCAGGAAACCAGGAATGTCAAACATCACAAACCTCCTCGAGATCCACAGGTTCAGAGTACACGCCATATGTGTCCTTCCTACCACAATGTAGAGCACAAAACCATGATTAGCCATCATCAGCTCATCAACCCCATTTACCGTTACAGAATCCCGAGAACGACAACCGATAGGGAAACAGAGAATCGAAATTGTTGTAACCTACTTTTGAAGCTTGTGCAGAACCA